AATAGACTAATATTGCTTTCTCAAGAACAGCGGTTTATTACTAACACCACTTTAAGTTAATTTAAAATAAATACACACAACAGAAACTGAATGTTTCAAACACAAAAAGTGCAATGGAATAAAACGTATAGTACAATTGCACGGCGCAAAGAGTGCAATGGAACGTATTCCATTGCACTCTTGGGAAATGGAATTTTCTATTCAATATCACGTGACGATACGATCAGAATTCAATAAGGTATTATATAATATTTTCAGGGAACATATAGCCAGTAAAATACGCGTCAAAAATTTCATTTATATCAACTGTTACAGTAGTGTTTGATTTTTGTGACGCCAATTACTTGATCACGAAAGTAAAAACGGAAAGCAAAGTCTAAAGAGTAAAAATAAACAACATTTACCCTGCGGAATACTTTGCCGTGGCACAAGCAGGTTTAATTAAAAACAATGAAACCATTTTGAATATCGCTACTTGAACTGCGAAAAATATAGGATAGTCAAAGCCGGAAAAACGCAGTAAACTCTTACTATATATTCGTTTTACTGAAGAATTTTGTGACAGTTGGTGATTATACGTAGTTCTCCGTACTTCTCAGAGGCTGAGCAGATTTAAAAGCGGGAGTCAGCCTGACACATCACAATGTACACATATAACTGAAAAAATATTCGCGGATATATGAATCTCCCATGTGGCACGTATCTGTTCGTTCAGGTTCTTGAACTTATATTGTGGTTTTTCTAGCTAAGGCCTGTTTTATACGCGAATTTTGATCGCGTCGAATGCACATGAATTAAGACAATAGATAATGAGATGATAAAATTCATTAATCGTCATTATCTATTGTTTGAATTGCATTCGACTTGACCGAAATTCGACGTATAAAACAGGCCTAATTATAAGTATAGTTGGCAAACAAGCAAAGGTCACATCTATCCATTTTTTTCACTATTCATGATTTTACCGGAAAATTTTGCAACATTTGGTGATTACGTACTTCTCTGTACTTTTGAGAGTAGATTTAAAAGTCAGCCTGACACTGAGTCACAATGTACAAACGTAACTGAAAAAATATTCGAGGATAATCGCCAGGTCACGTGATATGTATCTGTTGCATGGTTCACGCTCGCTCTTGAGTCTTAAACCCATATTGTGCCAAATTTGCCTAGCTAATTATAAGTAGTTGGCAAAGAAGCAAAAAGTTAGGATTTGCCAATGCGATAGACCTACCAGTCAATAGCATAGATGTTAATGAACCATATTTATAAAATAAAAAATATTGCACAGCTGTGCATGAGTTATCATCAATACTGCGTAGCTGGTTTATATTTGTACCAAACAAATACTTTGAGAGTACTGAAATATCCGCCAACACTTTAAAAATCATTGGTGATGAAAACCGATAAAAAACGTTTACTACATGTAACACCACAATATACGTTACTTGTTGAAGCAGATTCTGCTATAATTTGCTATCAGTTTATTTTAGTAGATATACCAATATAAACAAAGATAATTTGTGGTAGACACCAAGCAGACATTGTAATCTTGCACCCTTCCGGTGAAGACAAAGCAGCGTGCATGCATGATCATGTATGCAAAATAATGACGTATTACGTATAGTAAATGACCTTGCATAATCCCGTGAGTGGATTATATGACTAAACATTTTTCAAGTGCATCGATAAACTGCACTCTTTAACATCGGAAGCCAACTTTAACGTGCATTGGGAATATATTCGCATCTGATTTTAGCCACGAAGTAGGTATGTTGGATCCACTGAATACGACAGCGTTCAATGTTTCCTCTGGTGAGCAGGAGATCGAGAATTGTTTCATGACATACATCGTTCGTAAGCCATCGACATCGTATATTATAAACAGCATATTTGGTTGCATCGTAAACGCCATCTTAGCAATTCTAGGGACATTTCTGAATGCTCTGGTCGTGGCCGTTTTCTGGAAGACACCGAAATTACGAAACAAGGTGACCTATTTTATGATAATGCTCTTATCTTGTATTGACATGTGTGTGACAATAATCGTCCATCCGCTTCATTTGGTCAATTCGATAGCTGAGATTACCCAGACTTCGCAGTGCAGTTACAAAATGGTTTACCAAACGTCAGCAGTTATGTTATCAGGGATGTCATATCTTACATTTTTTGTTATGAATATCGAGAGATACATGTCAATTTGTCGACCATTTTACCATATGAGAAACGTGACTAAAGAGAGATGTTTCATACTAATGGTATGTCTCTTGCCGATTTCCATAGGGACAGGAATTGCTCCCATATTTGGCGTAGACATTCAACCTTTTGTCACAGCCCTTGCAGTGTTAATTCTAGGAGGAACTTTTTTTATATATCTGTCAATATATAAAGTGGCCAAAAAAGCACGAACTTCACGATTACGTTCATCAAGTCGTACTGGCCAAGACGCGTTCTCAGTCACAGTAGAAGAAACAGTTACACTTGAATCACGTGACTCCACTAGACCAAGGAAAGCAGTCTCACTCTTTCACGATTTACAACTTGCAAAAATGTATGTAATTGTAGTTTTCTCTACCATCCTCCTAAATCTACCAAATGCGCTAGTTTTAGCTTTGTTTAGTGAGCGAGTCGAGACTCTAAATGGAGTAGTTCAAGCTAAAATCTGGACACTAACATTGGTTGCAATGAACTCAACTTTCAATTCAGTTGTTTTCTTCTGGGGCAATGGAAGACTACGAAGTGAAGGTTGGAGACTGTGCAAAAAATGTTTCAGATTTTGAACGAGTGAACACTATAATGAACGAATATAATGAACAATTATAATGAACGAGTGAACATTAGTATTGAAAATACCCTTGTAGTTTTAATAGTAACACTCCGGGGAACTCGGTTATGAAGGCTCTGACATGCAGCCAGAGGCAGATATTGGTATGTATTACACACCTTATCGAACCGACGCGAGTTTTCAGGAAAACAGCACTCACGTCAGCACGTGATAACGTGTGTAATGAGTAAGGCTGTAATAGAACTTTAAAACCATTCCGAGCTTCTTTTACTGCTCGCAATGACTGTAAACTGTACTGTATATACAAATGTATAAATAAATAATGAAAATGTAAGAATATACAATAATACAAAGTTTAATTTTCTTGTATCGTTTTTTTTTATCATTTTGTACAGGATCAGGGAAAATCAAGACATTAAAATATTCTATTAAAATATATAATTATTATTTTTTTGAAAAGGAATTTACCAGATCATGCATAAAGTATCACGGCAAGTGTCACAGTTCGATTTTCTTGTTTGCCGATCTGTCAAAACCGTATGCTTTGATGAGAGAGCAACCGGCCAACAATGAAACAATTATTGTCAGTCAACAATAAAACCGGAAGCGTCCGCCCCAACCGGCATGGGCATGCGCACAATTTCAAATTTTTATGAGTGCTCCCTGCCAACCTCGTACCCAGGGTCTTTCCTCTTGGCAAGGGGATAAAATACTTTGGTAGACGCTGGTCACGTGATCTGCTAAAATCTAGCAGATGTTTAGTTAGCAAACCAAGATGAGGTCAATAAGTATTTGTTATTATATGGCAAGTATTTGTTTTGATGAATCGCGCAATTTAGCCTCGCTGCTGACGAGGCAGGATTTTCCCGTATTGCCCACGGGCAATACGCAACCCTGCGACGAGAGCCGAGTCAAAATGTTTATAACTATAAAAGCAGTCAGGAATAGTTGTGTTTTGACTATGTGAAGAGCTGCAAATTTTATTTGCAGATAGCCAGGAGGAATTTGACACCATCCTAAATAAAAATACGACTAAAGCAGCCGCAGATTTATAATTTTCCCCTGAAAATTTTTGTTTTTATTAGATAAAAAGAGACATAAATATGGGAGGAAGCGATCTAAAAACGTACTTAAATGACGAAATATACCTTGTATTTTTCATGAAATACTATCCAAACTGTGTTAGTATTCTATATAAAAAGTAGTGACTGTAGAGTAGTTTTACTAACCAAGAGAACATTTTTTACGATTGTTTTTTTTTTGCAAACTGTTTCGGACTTTGTACTTTGCCCTCGCGTGACCTTTTCTTCCATTTTTTACAAACGTACAATGCCATATAATAAAAAACTTACTGACCTCAACCGTTCGGGCAGTACGGGAAAATATCTAACCTCGGTCTTGCTGTATTGACCTCGCTATCGCTCGCAAGACCTCGGTTGGATATTTTCCCGTACTGCCCTCACTCTCGGTCAGTAAGTTATTAATATTCACCTACAGGAACCTACAGGTAAATATAACAAAATCGAAATTTTCAAAATGGCAGCTAGCCGTTTTGTTGAAGTTAGTAATAAAGAAATAAGTGAAATTAAAATGAATTCAGACCAGAAAAATACAAAAAAACTTGTGCAAAATACTAAAACAATTATTCGCCTCAGGCTCTGTGATTATCGGGGAATATTCACCTTGACTTCATCTCGGCGAATATTCCCCGATAATCACCTCGAAAAATTGTTAAATATAATTTTACTATTCCTTTTTCAAATAAATAAATGTTTTCGGACTCAATTTGCTGTGTTTGTTTACTGCAGTTATCAAATCCCTACTTTATCTTATAGTTCACCTTGTGCATGTGTTCTTAACACTGTTTTAACTGTTGT